CTTTTTAACTGAGCACTAAATGTGCTTTCTTCCTACAACCCTCATTCACCCAATCACACACACATTCATAACAAGCACTTTTTTCTATACCTTGTCAAACATTCATCCACAAAAACATTCCAATGTATGCTTTAAGACATGCACTGACTGGAGTGCCCGGCAAATTGATCCACAGACCAAGTAAACGACTGTTCTACCCCCTGGGCCATGTTTTCCCCAGACTGTGTAAGTTGAGTGGACTTATACTGTTCAGTGAATAAATAATAAATGACAGATTTAGTGGTATTTTCATAAACTATTTATTTACCACATCAATGGCAGGGCAAATATTTTTTCTAACATGGCAACCTTTAAAAAGTGAAAGGAGACAGAAAGACAGGTGAGAAAGAATAAAACTTAATTGACTTTTTGATGGCATTTTACACACAGTACTGGTACAGTATCTAGAAAGTGTGGGAAAATACTGGCATCATATACAGTACTTTCCTCTGAAGAAATTATGATGGGACCCAGAAAAAAAACCATTCCTATGTACAATAATGGATTTCTATACAGTTTACATCAAATGAAAACTTTGGTTGTAAGATTCAGATAATTTTTTCAAATTATTTAATAAAAGCTAGACATTTGAAATGAGAATAAGAAAGAAACGTATTTCTTTGTGCCCCCTTTCCCTGTTAATGCCCTACCTGGCCCCCTGGCAAGACTTTGCTAGACCCGCCCCTGCACAGTTACCAGCTGTCAGCAACGTAGAAAAGGATCCTGGTGTTAGTTGTCTCTCAGAAACAGTTCATAACTTCCTCTCAACTCATTCATGTCACCTAAAAGGTAAACCTGCTTCTCCATCAGCTGTTCAGCTCTGATGATTCAGTAAGGACATCTCCTGGTTTCATCTTCATGTTTCCCTCTCACCACATATCCAAACCGATATCATGACCAACAGCTTTTACAGCTGTGGCTCCAGCAAACATCAGCTGATACTAGAAAGTAATATTAAGTAAATTCTAACAACAACTTATCAACCTTAAGTGCTGCTGCTGTTGTTTAGCAGCCTCCTCCTGCCTCACCTTTCCAAGTGGTGGAGACCAGCCACTTGCTAATGTTACTGAATCTGTGGAAGCTCCGCCATAGCCACCACCAAGCAGTTGAGTTATTTTTACACATCTGCCAGCATCTGGCCAATCCACCACCTTTCATTGTTGATACAGTTACGTAAAGAAAAAAACCTCCAAAAAAACCAAAACATCTGCCCATAAAAACAAAAATCCCCCCCCCCCCACCGGGCAAATGCCCGGTACGCCCGATGGCCAGTCCAGCTATGCATTGGAGTGTTAATCTGAGTAAAAACAAATCGAATTCTGGGGTTTCTCAGTTAGTCTTGTTTGTGAGTTGAGAGCGTTGTGCTATTATTGAAAACAGGAAACCACAGCAATGTTCTCTGTTGGCACACAACACTGACACCTTCAATTTAGACTAATTAACATCAGGTTAGACTGCAGATCTACAGAATCTGGTTCAGTGTGACTATTTTTGCATTTCTTGGCTCATTTATGAGAGTAAGAAAAACAACTGGAAATAGTAAGACACATTCACAATTATAGGAAATGTATAATATAGGAAAGTTTTTACATTTTGATTTACAATTGTAAAACTGTGGGAATATTCCCCCCCCCCCCTTTTTTTTTCTTTCCTTGCAAAAAGGTGAAAGACAGTCAACAAAGCTGATATTGGCCAATATTACTTATTTCTATGACTAATCTTTTACAGTTACACTTAATCCTGTGTTATTGGAAATGTGTCAGGATCTAAGTTTGCACAGGAATTATGAAAAACACTGTATGTCAGTAAAATATGACAAAACCAGCCTGATACATTACTGCAAAACCAGAATAAGATAAAGTAATAATGTCCATCATTGATGTACAAAGTATTAGCAGCATTAGCTTGGCCACACACTATATATTACATTTATATGTATCTTAACTTCTCAGTATTTTCAGTGTGAGTTAAAAGTTTGAATAACCCAGCTAGTACACTACAGCACATTCAAAATATTATCCAAATGAAGAAGAAAATTTTCTGGCCTTTTGCTAGTTCGTTGGCCTTGTTCATGCAAATGCTGAACACATATGATGACTTACTTACTAGGCTTCACACAAACCTTTTGATTCTGATGTTGACACCGTTTCAGTTGCTTTACTCTTCTTTGATTTCTGAAAATCAAAGAATATTTGTTTCAGGGTTTTGTAGTTGTGAAGACAGATTCTATCAAAAAGCAGAGAAGTCACACACCTTAGTTTTAGCTTTGGCCCGCTTCTCTTCCATCTTCTCCCTCAGCTTGTCCACCTCCTCCTTGTTGCCATTGAGCACAACAATATCTTCATCTTTAAATGGATCTCCACACTATAACACAAACATTATATTCCAGATAAGGGACTCTTAAAGGGATTTAGAAAAGGCAAACATGTTTTGCAACAAGTGTAAAGGCAGAAGACATTCACCATATAGCGTTATTTCTGCTAATGCACTGTTATCCAGCACAACTGTTTTAAAATTAAATATGAGGTAGGACTTTCACATATATCATCTGAAATCATGAAGCAATGAGCAAGTTCTGTGTCAACCTCTGTTTACCATTTAGTACCTAAAAAGGGAACTACTTCAACAACCCCCAACAAAGCAAGATGTTTTGCAGAATCTGCACATAAACCTCCTCTCTTTCTCAAGGTGGAAACAACAGACCTGTTTTACTATTTGAGGAAACAACACACCCTTCAGCAGAGCAAGCTATGAAGGATGGTGCTGTGTAATCCTAAAGTAAAGTAAACACTCAACCAAGCATCACTAGCTGCACTCTATATAGAGCAAGTCTTGGATGGAAAATACTGGTGTGGAAAAGCAGGACTTTAAGTGGTTGGTTAAAAAACGTGACCCAAGATACAACATCCAATGTAGAAAATATTTTTTTCATTTTTATTGAAAAAGGAATAAAAGTTTTTAACTAAAATACTATGCAGGCTCCGAACAAGTAAAAAAGTGACGTTTTTTTAGTTATAGGTAAACTAAAGTGCTAAGGAGTTACGTTAAACCTTTACTTGAAATTTCCAGGGAAACACGACTAGCTTATTTTACTGTTAATTGTGTTATTATTGTGTATAATTCTCTATTACTAGTATTGTGTATAATGCTGTTGCTAGCGCCTCCTTTCAATAGATTCACACTTTGAATGAGGTAAACTGTTATCAGTGACAGTAGCTTCTTGGCCAAGGAGGATTAAAAAAGTGCCCTTCAATTACTTACACTTTTAAAAGCTGCCGCCTGCTAGCATTGATAAAACATTGTCTGGTTGTATATGCATTATAAATTTTGTGGCAAAACAGGAAGTAACAAAACTGAAAGTTGATTGTAATTAACATCATTTAAGGTATTTTGAAATATACATATTTGGCCGTCAGGCTAGTTTAAAATGATTTTCTCTGAAAAAGTGACTGCTTTCAGTTTCACTTCGTATAAGTACATGTAGTCCAATCCATCTTGCAAATCAGTTTTGTTTTGTTTTTTTAACTTTCTCAATGGACGTTCATAAAATGTTGCTCGTTTGCATCTTTTGCAGGAATTTGCAGTAAAACTTTTTTTTAATATGCCTTTTGCTTTTTCCATGAGCCATTAATATCCAAACATACCTAGAACTCAACACTAACTAACAAAACTATTAGATCAACCCACAGATAATTTCTTTGTCGGGACACGTCCGTTTTCCATTTTATTTGCATGCTGCCTGCCTATGACTGGCTAAACTCTGTGAAGCATGAGAGGGGAAAAAAACAAAACAAAATGCCACGAACGTGTCAGTCAGACACGCACACATCGATGAAATGACTAAGACAAAGAAATGTTATTGTTATTCTATGTTATTATTTCAACAGTTTGACACTTGAAATTTTCACAACACAATAAACCATTCTGTCACACCAAATCAAAAGTTTAATATTTGCTCCAGATCCAAATTAAAATGTAATTTGTTTTATTGTTGCTGTTGTTTTCATCGTTCCTTTGGTTTCAGAAGTAGCACTTGAGTTATGATTTCATTTATCCACAACAGTTTGTAAGTTTGCTAATAGAAATACAGGATAATACTGGTTAACGATAACCCTGTATGAAACAAACTGGCTTACATATTTGTGAAAGTCTTGCGATTAAAAAGAAAAAGAAAAAGGCTTAGGTTTTTGTGTCTCTAAACATATAAACGGGATGAATGCTTTTAATAGGAAAACACACACCGATATTCAAAAACAAATATTAAACCCCTGAGTAACAAGTAGGGGATCCATTGTGTGGTTGTAATGCAGGCTCACTGGGTGTGAACCGTGGCCATGTGCTCTGTTCAACACAACAGAGATAATCTCGGGAGCTGACCAAGCAGCAAATAAACTCTGTGGACCGCTATGAAGTCTGTCACTCTGCTGTTACCATCACCAAAAATGACACAACCTAGCATGAAGTCAGTTAGTAAACAAGTCAACCAAAATCTTTTTTTTTTTGTAACTGCAAGAGGCAACAAGATTGTGAACAAGAGACGAGTCACACTGCACAGTGTGCATAAACATGCACACCATTAACAGGGCAGATAAACTGGAACTGATCTTATCTGAGAGGAAAAAAGAAAGAAGAAACTTGAGGTAATGAGATTCGAAGACGAGCAAAAAACAAGAATACTGATGCAATACACAAGTGAGCAGGAGAGAGAGAGAGATAGCAAGAAAGAGTGTGTGTGTGTGTGTGTGTGTGTGTGTGTGTGTGTGTGTGTGTGTGTGTGTGTGTGTGTGTGTGTGTGTGTGTGTAATGTGTGAATATGACTCCTTATGTCAGGTGTGTGATTGGGTGTTCATGCTAGTAACCAGGGAGGGCCGGACTTGTCTCATGGGGCTGTGGGAGGAGAGACATAATCAGCTGCAAACACAACAAGAGAATACTCCACACAATTACAAACCACTGTGGCTCACTCACAACGCAACATCAAGCTCTGAGAAAGCAACCTCCTGACGAGAACACAAGAAAGCAATTCAATTTAGCTTGACACTACCGCTACTGCTGCTGCTGCTGATGGCACCAAAGGAACGGACTCTTCACTGCAGGACTTCAAATGAATTATAGCAACATAACTCGCAGGAGCAATTTAGGTCATTAAGACCCAAACAGGTGCTGATGTACAAAAGTTGACCTCTTCACTATAAGGAGTATAGATTGACCTGCATCAAAGGTAGGTCACTAAGCTTGTCATTTCTTTGTCTTTCTTTCTTTACATATTCTGCTGTTTATTTCTGTTGCCTCTGACCAAAGCAGCAATGTGATAAATGATTGCATGAAAACAAAATATAGTCGAACATGCTGATCTAAATATGATCTCAAATTTTCATTGCAAGGAATGTATAAACAAATATTTTAAGAAACCAAAGGGTTTTTTTTTATCTACCCAAACTCATAACCAACAACCAGCAAGCTATTCCTTGTTTCTACATATGAACTGTTCTTTCTATTAGTCGCAATATGAGAAGGATAGGAATCTCAGCAGATCAGAAACATACACATTTCCATGGCAGCCTCCCTGCTGATATCTTTATCTTCAGTGATATTCTCAGGAACAGGCTTGAGTGAGGATGTTTACTGTGAAAGAGAACAGTGTTCAGACATGTCTAAAGCTTCTCTGCCCTCCAAAGGATACTTGGGTATATATTTTTTTTTTTTTAATAAACAAAATAAAAAATAAAAGTTGTACTTTTTTCCAATTAAACTCAGGTTTACTTACATAGGACCTAACAGTATTTGGGAGAAAACACCAAAATTTAAAAAATTCCCTGTAAGCAAGCAGTTTGTGGGGAGTGTAGAACTCTCTTTTAACAGAAAGAAACAGCTAGCAAAAACTGGCTCCGGGGGGCAGTAATCTGCCATATCCAGTTGGGGGTGTCGGGATATGCTCGGTGCATCACAGCACACCGATTTAGTCCCTAAAAAGGAGCTACTTCAAACCTCCTCCAAAAAAGCGTTTTCGGAGACGTCTGTTACCCAACAGCTCGGTTCAAGGCTCATTAGAGCCGGTGAGAACACCGGACTCCCGGCAAATTGTTTTCAAACCCACCGCCGTCTTTCGCTACTCAGGTTAAACATGGTATATAAGTCACTTAGATAACTTAAAAATGTTATTGTTTGGCTTTTTTCAGTATTTTATTTGTTCCCAAGTAAATTGGTTTGGCTGAGATTAAAATTATAGTTTTACACAGATGAATAAACATCAAGCAGACAACTGATTATCAGAAGTGCGAGATGCTCGAGAATATACTCCTGTTATATTTTAGATAGCAAGGAGCAGACGGCCGAGTTTATTCAACTTTACCGAGACAATCTGCAAATTTCATTAAAAGTTTAATAAACTATCATCTTGTCTTTATTTTTAGTTAGCACATACCTTAAACACTTAAAGCTGTAAGCTGGTGCAATAAGCTGTAAGTTTTACGTCCAATGGACGCACAATCTGATTAGTTGACTAATCGCAAAAATAATCGTTGACCAGTCGACTATCAAAATAATCGTTTGTGGCAGCCCTAGTGCTGTGAAGGAAAGAGTGCTGTCAAGGATGACACCAAGACTCTTGACCTGAGAGTCCATTGATAACTCTGTTGTCAGAGTTATCAATGGATAATGAAAGACTTCTGGTTGGAACTTTAGTCAGTTTTGATTTGGTGCCTATTAGAATAAATTCTGTTTGATTGCCATTAAGTTTAAAAAAGTTGTGAGTAAACCAAACCTTGATGTCACTTAAACAATCAGAAATAGTTGTGGGTAGGAGAGAACCTGTGGGTTTGGAAGATAAGTAGAGCTGGGTGTCATCTGCATAGCAGTGAAATTGCATGTTATACTTCTTCAAAATATCACCTAGGAGTAGGAGATAGATAATACAAAGTAAAGGACCCAGGACAGAGCCTTGAGGTCACCAGAATTAACTGGAGTAGATAGTGATCTGTGAGTGAGTACTTGAACAAACTGTGAGGAGCCAGAGAGATAAAAAGAAGACGTTTAGAAGAATCTGATATTAATGGATTACAATACTCCACCTGAAAGAAAGCAGCGACACATATTTGCTTAATGCACGTTGAACGACATATCCAGTTCAAAAATGACTCTCAGGTTCCTCACAATGTTACTGGAGGCTAACGTAATGCCAATCAAGAGTTTGCGTTCTGGTTAGACATCATGTTTCAGAGATTAGGGACAAATATAATAACTTTAGTGTTGTGTCTAAAACATGCCTGTCCTTTAACTCAGCGGTCCCCAACCCCGGGCCTCGGACCGGTATCGGTCCGTGAGTCGTTTGGTACCGGGCCGTGAGAGTTGAGGACCGTTTTCAGGGTTTTTATCAGTTTTCAGCGTTATTTTGTTATCATTTTTATCGTTAACTCGGTTGTCCCGGGTCTTTTCACGTGCGTTATGAATAAATCTTTTTTTTTTTTCGGTACCGGTACTAGTTTTATTTTGTTGTATTTATCCGCGACACCTTAAAGGCCGGTCTGTGAAAATATTGTCGGGCATAAACCGGTCCGTGGCGTAAAAAAGGTTGGGGACCGCTGCTTTAACTAATTAATTTGTGTAATCCAGCTTCAGAGGTTACTATAGCTTGGTATCATCTGTGTTGTAATGAAAATGTATGCAAAATTGTCTAATAACAAGGGAAGGGAAGCATCTATAATGTAAACAGAATTGGTCCCAGCACAGAACCATCTGTAACTCAATAACAAACTTGTCATGTGAGAAGACGACTCCCTATTTGCATGCACACATTGGAATCCATCAAATAAGTCATGATTAAAATCAATGCAAACCATTTCCTTTAACACAAAAGCATATATGAGTCTCTGTAGCAAAATACTGTGGCCAATGAATGTGACACTGAGATTTAATAGGATAGCCTGTTGTTCAAGTAAAGTAATTGTTCACTACAGAGGTTTCAGTACTATGATGAATTCTGAAACTATACTCAACGTCCCGCAAATAAACCGCACCTCTGCAAGTGATCAGTTAAACGTTTTACAAGTACTCTTTCAAGAACTAAATCATCTTCTTCCCTTTGCCGCGTTGAAAATATACAACAAGATGAAAACAAGTTATCCGCAATTGAACTGCTTTGCATTATCATAAAAAATACATCTAACATAGTGATCGATATCAATTACCTTTGCCATGCTTTTGTAATATTATCATATACAGAACAGCAAGTAATTCACTTCCTGTGTTGCAAGCTGTGGTTCTAGAAAACACATCCCATAGACATTGCAGAAGCACTAAAGCAGCAGCAGTTAATGTGCCAAATATTACAAGCTAGCTTCATCAATTAGGTCCAACCTAAATACTTAACCCTATTTTATATTCCTCAAGGATCCAGGATCCTTCTGCAAATAATCCAACTGGATGTCTCCACTGCAGAAGCTTTAACTGTGGTGGTACTGGCAGACTACAGAGAAACAGGGCTATTATGCGCCAGCTTGAAGGGACAAAATGCAGCTTCCTCGTGTGCCTCGGGATAAGTATTATTATCTTTTCCTTCATTTATTTGAGGACTAGGACGCCACCTGAGTTAAAGCCTCCCCCATCTTCAAGTTGCAAACCTTTCTCAACTGTGTGTAAAACTTTTTTGCCAGGCATGAAGAAAGGAGTAAATTGGTACAGCTGTGACTGCCAGGTATGTATTTTCCCCCCACCCTTTCTTTACTTCTGAGAAATAAAAAGCACAAATATTCTAGATGAAATTTTCATTTGATCTAACAACCAGTTAGGAGCATTAGCACAGTCACATTGACATTCCTATTTAAAAATGAGTTTCAACAGTAACAGTCGCAATATATGCTTTTTTGGTCTACAGGTGGAAAGCTACATTCTAAACAGCCACCTGCCGTGCTCAAACTTGAAAAGAGATTTACACTTTATAACAAAACCTCTAAGTCGTGCAGAGGAGGCTTACCCTTTAGCTTTCATTGTGACTATTCATAAAGAGCTGGAGCTTTTTGTCCGCCTCTTGAGGGCAATTTACATGCCACAAAATGTGTACTGCATTCACGTGGATGCTAAGGCTCCACGGGAGTATCGGGAGGCTGTACAGAAGCTAGTCAGCTGCTTTCCAAATACATTCCTCTCCAGTCACAGTGAAACTGTGACCTATGCTGGTTTTTCTCGTTTGCAAGCAGATCTGAATTGCATGAAGGATCTAGCGAAATCCAAGACAGACTGGAAGAAGGTGGTGAATCTGTGTGGACAAGACTTCCCTGTTAAGAGTAACCTGGAACTGGTACAGTACATGCAGAGCCAACAATGGAGGGATAAAAACATGACACCTGGGGTCAAACAGCCGATGTCTATGATGTACAGAACGCAACGCCAGTACAAGGAGATTGTGGGGTCACATGTAGCTCCGAAAGGGCTAGGCCTGAGGAAAAGGCCTCCTCCACACAATCTGCAATTATATTTTGGAACAGCCTACTATGTTCTTACAAGACCTTTCGTGGACTTTGTTCTGAAAAGCCCAATAGCGCATGACTTCTTGGATTGGTCCAGGGACACATTCAGTCCAGATGAACACTACTGGGTGACGCTCAACCATATCAAAGGTAAAATGGCGGTTTTAAACAGGTGCACAGACACAAAACTCCACGCTTGTTTAACAGCTAGCACAAAACTATTAAACATGTACTAATGTGAGTATGATGTGATATAAACAAAAGATGATATGAAACAAGGTTCTAGGTTCAAATTTCCTTATTAACTGGAGCCTTCTGTGTCTGTATGTATGTGGGCTTTAAATACTTCAGTTCCTTCTCATAGTTCAGGAGACTGAATGGGTTTCTGTCTATGTAGGTTATACTTTTCTTTTTCATTTTTGTCAGCTAGAATAGACTCCAGCCTGCCTGTGACCATTTGTTATCCTTATACATTTTATTTCATTACCCCCTGGTAAAATGAAAACTTATCAGGAATTATAACAAGTTTAACTTTTGCAACTTTGATCAATGTCTCTACTTTTAATTGCTTACAGACTGCAAATGCTACCTCTTCCTTTAGCTTTTCTTTGAGATGTATCGAGAACTGACTCTCAAACAGCAGATGAAGGAGGCCTGAGCAGGGCTAGTTAAACCTTGACAATTCAATTAGGTCATATAATTACCAATTTTGTCTGATTACATGTTTTAAGAAGCTCCAGGCAGTCGCATTGATGGAGGCTGGGAAGGAGCTATCCGGGCAATCAAATGGCGGGATCAAGAAGGAAGTGCACACAGTGGTTGCAAAGGTATAGTCATATATGTCAATAAAGACCGGATTAGTTACTCTCCCAGAGATTAAATTCTACCAATATTTCCTAATTATTTAAATTATAAAAATGTGGTAAAAATGAGGTATTTAGTTTTGTAATCCAACAATAAATTATTAATCCCACATAAATCCTTGTGAGCAAGTCACATGTACATCCATAAATAGACACACACACACAGATATAGATAGATATATTAGGGGTGCAACGATATTCATATCGATATTGAACCGTTCGATACAGTGCTTTCGGTTCGGTACGCATATGTATCGAACAATACAACATTTGTAATTTATTTTATCAACTTTCCTTCTGACGATGCTGTCTGTGTTGAGTGCTCAGTGAATCTGCGTTCGACTACTCCGCCTAGGCTGCACTGTCGAGTGCAGATCCACTGAGCACTCAACACAGACAGCATCGTCAGAAGGAAGAGCGCAGGGCAAGCTAGCAAGACAGAAGTTAAGCTCTCCTTGTAACATGGACCTCCCCCACCCTCATTCAGATCTGGCGTTTGGAATTATTTTGGTTTTCATGTGACGTATGACCCTGAAGGTAAGCGAGTCATGGACTAAAGTAAAACAGTATGTTGGATGTGCCGTGCAATGCTCAATTACATGGGTGGGAACTAGTGTGTTAGCGCAGTTAGCTCGTTAACGTGTTGGCCGTCTAGCCCCATGCACAGGGCGATCGGCGGTAGCTCGTTAACGGAGATTTGCCGTGTTGTGGCGTTAAGGTCATTTCAACGAGATTAACCTGAAAGCACTAGTGGGAACACAACGAATATGACTGCACATTTACGCCGACATCATCCTAGTGCAAAGACAAGTGGAAGTAGACAAAAAAAAGCAAGCATGCTACTAACTTTAGCCGAGTCATTTAGACAGCTGTTAGCACATGATTCTCCTTATGCTGCTGAGAATATAGCCCAGAAGAAGCGGATAGTATAGCTTTTATTTTGGAAAGAGACATTTCTCTGTAATAAACTCTCTTTTCCAAAGATGAGTGATTCCTCAATCAGATACAGGGCTTGCAATATCGCTAGCCCCAGGACGTCGGGCTAGCGATTTTTTTCAGTCGGGCTACCAAAATCTATCTCTTCCCTGCCCGTCGGGCTATTGTAGGAAGGAAAATCATGCGAGCTGTGTATAGAGAGCGACAGCACTGATCTGTGAGTGATGATAATTTGTGCACCAATTCCTCTGACATCGTCTTATTAATCGTTAGCTTACTATGCAAACATGACAAGTGAAATCTCCCGCAGCAAGCTTAAACATGTGAGAGGTTGATCGCGCAGAGAATCGCTGAGCTTATGTGAGTGCGTGTGTAAAAGTAGCAGGATATATATTTTAGTTCTGCTGAGCCAAATAAGACAGGTCAGGGTGAAGAAGTGACAGCCAAAGAAAAGCTTACCACAAAACGGAGAAGTTATGACAAATCAGACTATAAGGCAAAAAGAAAGTGCAGCTTTATGGTTTCATGGACAAAATAATTTCTGTGGCTGCGATATGATGAGCTAAATAACCAGGGCTGCACATAAGTGGTCCGCAGGTGCGCATTCGCTGTCAAAATAAAAAACACGCACAAGGGTTAGGGTTAAATTTAAAAACTGTACTTTTGAGTTAAAATATATATTTATAATTTTAATAAATGACAAATTAAAAAGGCATGAACATGTTTTTTGTATCGAAAAAATATCGAACCGTGACACCAAAGTATCGAACCGAACCGAACCGTGAATTTTGTGTATCGTTGCACCCCTAATATATCTATATCTCTATATCTCTATATATATATCTCTATATCTCTATATCTCTATATATATATCTCTATATATATATATATATATATATATATATATATATATATATATAGATATATATATATATATATATACACACACACGTGTATATACGTGTATATGTGTGTGTGTGTGTGTGTGTGTGTGTATATATATATATGTGTGTGTACATGTGTGTGTACGTGTGTGTGTACATATGTGTATATATATGCGTGTACATACATATGTACGTACGTACATACATACATACATACATACATACATATATATATGGCATACTCTCCACTAGCTTTACGTCAAAGGTTAAATACGCTTGCGTACATATATTTATTTATATAATGGAAACTCGTAATAAAAGGAACGAATTTTGGCATAATGCTAAAAAAAAAAGTCATGTCCAAGCTGCTGTTTTCCAGGGCATTACATACGAGACATCTGTATCTACGGAGTGGAAGACCTACCATGGATCATCAGCATGGACAGCATGTTTGCCAATAAGTTTGAGAGTAATACCTTTCCTGAGGCACTAGACTGTTTGGAGCAGTGGCACAGAAACAAGGTTATCAACCAGGCTACTGTTCCCATAGAACCGTCATGGCTACTGGCCATACACAGCAACTACAGCAACAGCAGCAGCTACTTTAACAGCAGTGCTGGAGAATGAAATCACTACAAACATGCAGTCTATATCTAGTTGAGCTTATTTGCACTTGTCTTGTGTTGTTATGTCATAATATGAGCATAGGAAAGCAAAACCAAGGAAGACAAAATGCATTCAATATGCATTTCAAGACCATGTGTGTATACTAATATATTTATCTATGAAACTTTATCAGTGCTGTCCTTTTTTCTAAATACAGAAATAAAATATGAAATAAATTCTGTCCATAAAGCAAAAATAATGACTAAAGCTTGGATGAAACGACACTACCAAAGAAATGTTATTCAGTATGACATTCAGTTTGAAAAACACAACTGCTGATAAAGGTGTTGACCCTTTCTCTTATTTAAGAAGTAACAGGTGTAAACAAATAAAAGCAATTGTGATAACGAGTCCTAACTTTCACATGATCTTGCGCATGCTGTCAGTGTGTCTGAACAATACCCGAGTAAACAGTGTTTTACCTTTTTAAAAAGGTTTCTTTTATATAGGCTACAGAATTTTCTAGTAAGTCAAGCTAGACTAAAGACATTTGGTTATGTGAATGGCATTTTTACTGGCAGATCAATTTATGCAATGACTCCTTGCAAAAATATTTTTTTTAAAAAAACAACAAAATTTCTTAAAAAGGACAAAAAGTGTGTTCGGTAAACAGCAGCATGCAAGTAGAGTTCAAATATGAACCCACAAAAGAAAAAGAAAAAAGAGAGATAAATGCTGGCTTAGATAAAGATTCAGTCTTTATCCAATGACACACACTCTGAACTTGATTCTGACAGTTCAGCCTTAGATAACAATTTTATGATGGGTACTGGATGCAAAGGGGGAAAAAAAGCCAAAATGGCTATCACTTTTTATAGAACCTGTCCAAAACTCAGCACAAACTGCTTATTGTCTTACATGGATATAACAAAGGGTGATGTTGCATTATCAGTTATTTTGTATGTTTTACTTTGACATTTAAGGTTAAGTGAACTGTACTTTACATTTCCTAAACTTAGCAGCAACTGAATAAAGAGTGGGTAAAGTCAGGCTAATCGTATTGGCTCCAGAAACTGTGCTGCCTTATAAGCCTATCTTATCAAAAATCACAGTATTCTAAGTCAGCTTCCCACAAGAAGCGCTGTAGCTTTTCTTATACTTTTAGATATTTTTGACAAAGTCAAACAACTGATCTGTCACTGTTCCAAAATGCTTTTAATTAAACAGAAATAACAACACTGACCAGCTACCATCTGCTTTCTGTTACCTCAAAATAGCCTGTGCATGGGAAATTTCCACCATAGTTTTAATGCTCCTTACAACTACAAGGTCAGAACCCATAAAAGGCATTAGGCCTACTTGATTCAAATTCCCGTGTGGCTTAAACTAGGGCAATCTCAGAAGCGACTTGAAGAAAGGAACAGTGCAGTTTAATCTGTCCAAAACACATCTACTCACATAAATGTTGTGATATGGCATGTTCTTTATGGTTTAGTATTATTTAAATTCAGAAAGAGGTCAGTAATATTGTAAACGCGCATTATATAAAGGCCATGTTCAACTAAAGTGATTAAACGTTAAACTTCCTCTGATCCTCAAATTAAAGTTCACATAGATTCTAGTGCAAATTGTGAATTCAGCAAAACAAAGGTCAAAACATGATGAAACCAAATTTCAAACATTTGCCTAATCACATATTCCTATAGAACAACAAAGTGGTTTGTAGTGGACTATAGGAGCACTTTAGTTACATTTACATTCTCTTCAGGCTTTATTTTCTTAACAATGCTGATATTGTGATAGTTTTTAAAAGTCAACATGCTATAATTTTTTTGTTTAAAAAAAGCAACCCAAAAACAATAAGTTATTTATCTGTGTGTATTCTACGAATGTAAAACATTGCCAGAGTTCACTTACATTTTTATTACTAGCCCTTAAATACCGAAAACAATGTGAACATGATGGTTTTTATTTCTATTTATGTCTTCTCATGGGAGCATTAAATCATTACACTTCAGTAATTTAACTTGCATTCTTATCTATCTGAGCAACCAGTTGTGCATCTGGAACAAAGCTAATACTAGAGGTGGGAATCACTATACATCCCACGATACGATATTATTGCAATTTTTTAAAATATTTTGCGATATTCAGATTCTGTACATAAAAGTAAACGTTATCAATATTCATTTTATCTAATATCAAAGCCTCGCACTCAGTCTCTCTCTCATTTCAGTCAGTTTTATTGTTGACAAATTGAACGGTTTGTATTACAGTCTAGTCCAACTTAACTGAATGCAACCATCTGGTACAATTATAGCTATTCTGAACTATGCAATTTATGAAAACTATGCAGCCCCTTCAGCAACTGAAGAATTTGAAAGTAAATTAAAACAAAATATAATTTTACATTAAATAAAAAAGTTTTAAACTTAATTAAAATAAAACATGTCTTAAATTAAAATAAGTAAACTGTCATGTTTATTGCTGCCATAAAAAAAGTTAAACACATTTGGACAGTGAAGGAATGTCAGGATTCTTGCTCAGAAAAAGGATCAACATGCTCTGAAGTCAGAGCACAAAAACCTTTTTTGTAACAAAATATCGATTTCTGCTGTCCCTGTATCGATACATTATTAGCAAACAAAATATCACGATACTACACAGAATCGATTTTTCCCCCACCCCTAGCTAATACCAGACTGCTGCTATCTTATCTACATTTTTATCAAACCTGCCTATTTACAAATCATTAGCGTTGAAAATTTGCTGAGTGTGACTTAAACAAGGAGCATTAATGCCAAACACCCAAGGTCAATGATGGAGACTTTAGGTCCATCAAGTCTTTGAGTTCAACTATTGGTGGTTTTGTGTTTAAGGAGCATAAAAGCTACGTTATTATCTTGTTGCTGTTCAGCAGAAATGATGTCACAAATAGAGCTGGCTATGTTTGTTTTACATATTTTTAATGGCAGTAAAGATTAAAAGTGTCTTAAGAATTTTTTAAAAAAAACTGTCAGAGTTGACAACCTACTGAGGCTAAATAACCTGGGAAAATAAATAAATGAATGTTGCCTACCTTGTGGCAGATTTCTGTCTTGACTTCCTTCAGGGCCCTGTCTGAAAAGACACAGCCACAAGTCTGGAGGTAACAGAACCTAAAAAACAGAGAAACACTTATATGAAATTGTTAAACAGTTTCCACCTGTATCGCTTTTAGGGCCATTCACCAAAAATAAATAAATAAATAACAGACGCAGGGCTGGGAACTGTATGTCTTTCTAACTTTATGTGATCTAAAGTTAGGTCCATACGTTTTTGGGTTCTTGACACGTTGTAATTTTCCCTCTGTACACTACCGCCTTTCTTTTCCACAGCTGACAAGGTCCCACAACAGCATAACAGCAAAAGTAACCCACAGACGAGTTGTTTGTGACACTACCCCCTGGTGACAGGAAACAGCTACAACATGTAGACAAGTCTGTGCCATAGCATCTTGGAGCCCTTAGATTTTGTGAATGTTTTTGTTTCTTAACCATAAAGAATTTTGACCTTATTCACTTTAGTTTTCCTCTGTGGCCTTTCAGGCTTGATGGAGTTGCAGAGCAGACTAATGCTTTCTTCTTTTCAGTAATGTACCTGATTGAAGATTTGGCCACTCCCAAGGTTTTTGATTTCTCTCTGATAGGTTTGTTTTGTTTTGTTTTCTCAGCCAAATAACTGTTTTCTTCACTTGCATCAACATTTCTACCAAATGCATTTTGTTAAACTCCAGAATCAAAGATACAAATCTGTACTTCCATTACATTTTGATTATTTAACTTACGCTGTGTTCCAGACACCTCAGAAGTCAGAACTCAGGAGTGACATCACTCCTGAGTTGAGTATGATTCAGTCAGAGAAGACAGTAAAAACAGGATGTCTTATACCTTGCTTCTTAGTAAGATAGAACTATTCATCCATCATTAACAAAACAGAGCAATACTTGTTTTTCTTTGACTTAAAAACACTGCTGCAGCATGGTCATGGATCGAACCTTGTAAGTGCTGTGTGAATGGATTATTTAACAAATCACAAATACGAAACAATACCAGCACAGGTTAAAAGTTTTACACTTTTAATAACGTTTACGTTCAGTCCTGCCATCTTACAATTGTTAACTTGTGGTTGGCATGTCTACTTTGAATTTCTGAGTTGGAAATTTGAGTTGAGAGGGCGTTCCAGGTGAAAATTTCCACTGGGAACTTGAAAATTCTGATTTCCAACTTAATCGCAAATGCGGTATTAAAGTACGATGTGGTTATGTACAGAGGTAAAATAAAATAAAATAAAAAATAGAGAATTTTAAGAAATACAGAATTGTCCAGAAATTCACAAGTATATCAGAAGCAAGATAGACGAATGCCATCATATGTTTTGCAGTGAATTTCAAACATGTATTTAGTATATTAAAATTAACTTAGATACAGTGGCTTGCTCCTTAAAACAAAGAGAGAACATGAATCGTCAGTCTCATTTTTTCATTCTTAGGTTTAGTACCTCTTCACTCAGGTTGCTTACCGGTGTTTGCCATTCATCTCCAACCCAACTACAGGGCAAATAAACATGCCACAATGAATGTCTTCATATCTGTCTCCCTTTGTATTTCTTCTTTCTCCTTCCCATTCAGGGTTATCAGTCAAGTTCAGCTCCTTTATATCCTTCAGAGAAAGCAAATAGATAGATTTCCTGTTTGAAACCACGAATAAACACACAATCATGTGTCCAGAAACACATGGGCTGAAGACCTCCAACTGTGTAAATGGATAATGTAGCTCTGTATTTTATTAATTACAAAAACAAACAAATAAAAAAAACAAGTTAGATGTTCACACTTCGGTGTTAATATACCTTGATCCCACGGATGTGTGCTACAGCCTCAGCATTAGGTCTCTCAGCCGACTTATCCAGGAGATACTCAATGATAGCATCTTTGTTGTACAGTCTGAAAAATAACATGTGCCAGACCACCAGAACATAATGTGGTGTAATGAAAAGATGAAAAACTGTACAGTCTTAATTCATGTCTGATTTTTGTTATTTGTGAAACGGTGTTTATATCTTCGCGCTGTCACATCATCGAGCGATACCGTGTCCAAACATCAAATAATGCCCGAGTACAAAACAAGACAAAAAAATAACTCACCTTCCCAGTTCACAGGAGACGATGGGTCGTCTAAGTTTCTCTTGACTCAATGCACAGTACTTCCATTTGGCAGCCAATTCAGCATTTTTATCAACCTGTTCATGTAAGAAGACCGTGAGGAAAGAATACGCCATGTAGCTTCGTCTATAACACATCAAGATAATGTTAACTAGCGTTAAATTCTGAAAACTCACAGCAACTACATAACGTACATTAGAAACCACATTTAAAATACCGTAATATGTCTTTTTTATTCTCATGATGAAACCCCGAAACTTAACAATACTTAGTTTAGCCCATTAGCATTAGCAACTTGTTAGCGTTCGAAAAATATCGCCAACAGGGATATTTTCTATTTAAAAACGGAAGGGAAACTGAAGCCAAATAAAGCTAACACACCTTCTCGATTTTCTTGGGCCCTTTCACCAACTCGTGTCTTTTGGGAATCGTGCCACCATCACAACCCATCTTGAAAGCTCACTTCTAACTAGTTAGCTCAAACAGTCACTGTACACACAAAAAAACCAAAATGCTACTCTCATCAGACAGGAA